GAGGTTGAATGCATTACGATAGTCGGCTGCGGACTCACACCATATTGGACGCGCTCGCAGTCAATTTTGCCGACATGTGCCTTGGCTGCTGTAACGGAAGCGCGAACTATTCCAGGGTATAATGCACAGTAGGAAGTCGAACTAAAATTATTATTGAGAAAAAGCGAACCTTTTTCGGTCAACAAACTGAAATTCTCGTCAACTTGAGAGGAAGGAGGGCAGTTTTCGTTCTGCTCAGAAACTAAGGTTTCGATGATTTTTTCCTATGCTATATCAAATCATATTCCACTGGGTAATCAGAGCACCAATCGTCCCTGTAACCAGAGGTTCAAATGCGGTGAAGTTGAAAAAAATCAGGCTCAAATATTGTAGCTGGAAACGCGAAAATCATCAGCTAAAAATCATAAAATGGCACTATCCAACTATTACTGCCCCAAATAGTCAAAAAATTTTTCGTGAAACCTCGCCCACAGAGGTAGTTCGGTGTCCTGATCACGAATATAGCACTCGTTTTGGGCGCTGGCGCCGAATTGGCGCCAGTTTGGCGCCGCCACCTTTCCCACCAAATTCGGTGTAAATTTGCATAATAGGTTTATTTGATGTCCTAATCACGAATACCGAATTATTTGAACAATGCAGTTCTCAGCCCTGACGACACTTGGCGCCATTAGGCGCTGATTTAGCGTAGTTTTTCGAAAAACTCCGGTCCTACACTTAGTGGCTATGTTATGACCCTGTGTCCGAGATGGACATTTATTCTCCGACGGCAGCGCGCATTGACGGCTGTTCTGAGGGCTCGAGCCTGGGGAAAGAGTAATTTCTTTTATCGGTCAGGCAGCCTCCAGAGGCGTATCGGCAGAGTCTTCATCAGACGTCAGCGCGAAAGATATGAATGTGATATCTGCTCCTAATACAGATGTTAAAGTTGACTTGACAAGTAGTTTCAGCGATTGTGAACCTAGGGTATTTTGCGCCGGAGCAAATACCTAGTCAGCCAAGTGGATGGTGATTGTTTCGTGTTCAAGGCAGGTCAAAAGTATCTAGATCACTTTTTAGCATATCTGCCTTCGTAGAAAACAGTTGATTAGATCCGGCGTTTCCGGAAAATTGGAGTTTTTTTCTCAGTAGGGCAGTCATTGATTGTGAGTCCGCAGCCGACTATCGCAATGCAATCAAACTCACCCTAAATTCTTTGTGCAGCACTTGCCGCCTTCTACTTGAATAATCGTATATTGTGCGATCAAAAACGAATGTCGGTAAGGACTCCTTTAGGCGAGTTTCAGCAGTTTGTTTTTTGATTTTTTTCTGGGTGGTGTGATCTCCCGAGAGTGCCCGTCTTATCGCAAAGTCTGTATCGCATGTTTCATCTTTGATATTCAACTCTTAGACAGGGCCTAAAAGACCCATCCTTTGGTGCACGCATGCTCTCCCGAGGACGATCGGCCGTGCCGAGAGGGCCTTATCTGAGCGACGGTTACCGGTTGCTTTTCTCTGTATCTTATAGTTGTGTCAAGCAGAAAACACCAGATGAGCATCATATACATTATGCTGCCATTTTCTTCCATGCCTTCAAGTGCGAAATGTGCCTTTGAGTTCAGTGAACGTCATGCTACGTTCTACCCGCACCAAGTTACTCGAAACACGACTATTGATTAATGGAAGTGAACAGAGAGAAAAGTTCTACTTTATTAAAAAACGTTGGATAAGTGCAATTTTCTTTATATCCAACCTTAAGTGATTTTTCAGAGTTCTGGCCACAGCCGCCTTCTGCTCACCCAGTTGGCACAACTTCGTAACGATTCATTGCTCTGTGATGTGACTCTGGTCGTCCAGGTAGTCCATAAAATATACTATCATTAGACTGTTCCTAAAGTCTCACATCAAACTTTTCTCCAGCATTGCCTCTAATTTCTTAGAATAACAGATAATGACCTTTATAATGTAACAATCATCCACCCACTCTACGTAATTTGCTTCATTTGTTTGTTTGTTTGCTTGCCTGCTTGCATGTTTGTTTGTCTGTCCGGAAATTCAGTTCTTCCAGAAGAACAACTTGGAGAGGTGAAGTCAAAGGTCGGGATGGGTAGGGCATGTGACAAGATGTAAAGAGCAGAGGTAACCCCACGTAAGCCCCATCCCACAGTGGGCGGGGCAGGTGTCGGAAGTTAGCGGTCTCGGTGAGAAAAAAAATCATAAATCGGCTTCAAACCAGTCCCGAGATGGAGCAAAATAGGATTAATGTCAGCACAGGTTGACCCATCAACTGGAGGAAACACACCTAAAATGGGCGGGCGTACTCGAGGTGGTGCTATAGGTGGTGGTTCTCACAAATGTCGGTAACTCGGTCCCCGAGAGAGTTTAGAGATTGCAAAAAAGTCCATGGCGAAGACAAACATCTGGCGAGAGTCCATCATATCTGCGGTGTGCTGTGACCCGCCAACAAAGGGGGGGGGGGCGTGACCTTAGTGTATTATTAAAAAAAATAATCGTAGTGTGATCCCAGGCATTACAGAAGACGAGAGAAAGTGGATTTTAAAGTTGTCTACGTTGAGAAGTGCAAGACACACCGTTGTAGGCGGAGCGTACGCGAGGTGGGCGGAGCCTGATTTAAAATTTCGCAAAACGCTTCCAGATCACTCCAGACACCGGGAAAAAGTGTATTAATGTCAGTGATGGGTCACCGGTTGAGAAGTGCGAGGCACATCCGTTGTGGGTGGAGCGTGCATGGGGTGGGCGGAGCCAGACTAAAAATTCGTAAAACGTTCCCAGAGCAGTCCAGACACCGGCAAAAGGCGAACCGAGATGTGCAAGTCCTCGGCCATTGGAGTGGGATAGGACACTCCCATTACGGGCTGGCAGGTGTCGAGGTGAGAGGGGCAGAGTCAAGAAATTCACGAGTCGCTTGCAAAGCAGCATATGCACCGGGGACATGTGGAATGAAGGTCACGAGGGATAATGGGGCAGACATCCTCAAAATGGGCGTAACGTACTCGAGATGGGCGGTGCTTGCTATGAAGTTTTATATTTCGGACCTGAGCGACTTTAGGGATCACAGAAACTCTGTACTCTGTTGAACTGTTGAACTCTATTGAAGAAAATAAACATACAGCAAAGGTTGAATGTGTCTGTGGTGTATGGATACCCATCCACAGTGGGCTGTGCTGCCTTCAAGCAGCCTACTTTTACTGAGCTTCAGTGCAAGTAAGGAGAGTAAGAAGGACGCGAAAGACTTTCCCAGTGATGATCGACAATTTTCGGGAAAAAAAGCGTTGTCACGTGGGTTGAACATTGACAGGATATGAAGCAACACGGCATAATTTTCTTGCGCTGTGGGGGACGCTTCGGTGGGTTACGGTTCGCCCACGCGCGGCAGTTCCTATTACAACATTCTTGGAACCCAACAAACACCACAGCGAGCTTTTCTTTTCGTGGAGTTTTCCTTATGTCTTGCTTGGAGTCAACTGCTCAGTCAAAATACAACATCCGACTCTCATCTTATTCATCAAGATGATGGAAAGAGCCCAAATGTAAGAGCGAAGTGCAGTACACAATCTTGAAGGAAGTTTCAGGCTGGACCCGATCACCGCCTCCACTTTTCTCCCTCAGTGCGACCCCTTTCTCAACTCCTCTACCATGTTACCACTAGCCTATCCTACAGCTGCCCGAATTACACCAAGATTTTGACAGGCCAACTCGTCGAGAGGCAGGGGGTGTAGAGTAACGGCGCAAAGGGGGGAAAAATCAACTCTCACAGAAAAATTTCGTGACAGCGTCATACGACGCTGTCGCATTTCCTGCAGCTATTTGCAACTAATGCTATTTTTCCCCCAAAAATGGTGGGAAATTATGTGGCTGTGAAAGCGACGCCAGCGAAGCAAAGACTTACACACGACAGGCCACGCGCTGCCATCAGCTGCATTAGCTAATGCAGCTGATGGCAGCGGTGGCTATGCGGTGGCAACATTAGCTGACAATGAGCAATGTGATTTGGCACTTCCTCCCATTCGTAACCGACTCAGTTTTAGACATCTCACGACTGAAAGCCTAGTGAACTGTATTGGTAACGCAAATTTGAAACAAAAAATTAAACAATTTCGAGAGTCGAGTACTCGAGATTCTGAGTTGAGGCTATACAAGAACTTCCCGGACAGCCCAACATGTTGCATTACAACGTTATCAGATATCTTTTCAGGGAGCACGGATCAACGCCCATAGAAATGTACTCGCTGCATGCTCAAATTATTTCAAAGCCATGTTTACAAACGACACGGCTGAAAAGCACGTCCGTACGTTAATAACATCCTATATATTCCTGAACCCTATCGAACACGTCACCCACCTCATCATCAGCATCGCACTAGTTCTGAACTAGAAAGCAACATGCGTAATATACTATGTACCAGCCGGCTTCGCCGTCACGCGCGCGCGCGCCTTTTTCTTCTGGATACAGCACGGCTTGGTCGGCGGCGCGGCTCCACCGCCCTTATCTTTTTCCACACATTTCAATACCCGCCTAGTATTCGCTTTTCTTTCATCTGAACGGATGATCAACATTATTTCACCACATACCCATGCTGTCTATTTCAATCACTTGGGTGCATGAAATGGTGGGAAGGAGCGCTGAGTAAGTGGACAGATGAGAGGGTATTCTGAAAGCCGGGTATTCGTCCAGCATTTGGCCTACGAACGCAGTAGGCGCGACGGAGCCACGCCCCGCAAGGCCGGGTTGTATCACAGAGGAGATCTGGAGTGCCTGGAGTGCTCTGGAACCGATTCAGGAATTTCTAACACTGGTCCCGCTCTCCTCAACGCAGCTCCGCCCACAACGTATGCCTCGCGCTTCTCAACTGATAACCCCTCGCTGACTTCAAACTACTTTTTCCCGGTGTCTGGAGTGCTCTGGAAGCGTTTTGCGAATTTTTCAAATTTGGCTCCGGCCTCGCGGGCACTCCGACCCACAACGCATGCTCGCGCTTACTCAACTGATAAGCCACTCGCTTGACGCTTCAACTACTTTTTCCCGCGTGTCTAGAGTGCTCTGGAAGCGTTTTGCGGATTTTTTCAATTTGACTCCACCCCCTCGGGCACGCTCCGCCCACAACGGGAGTGCCTCGCACATTCTTACATTTGATCACTTGGGGACCATAATCCACTTTTTGGCACCATCTGCAGTGATTTAGGACCAAACTACGACTTTTTATACTTTCCTCGTCGTGGCTAAATGCCCGCCCGCCACGCCGGGCGGCCTCAGCACGCCGCAAACAGGGTGGACTCTTGCAAGATATTCTTCTTCGTCATGGACTTTTCTGCGATTCCTAAACATTTTCGGGGACCAAGTTACCGACCTTTGGAAAGGTCGGCCGCCCATTCTCTAATGTATGCCGCTCCCATTTTTCGGGTGTCTCTCCTCCATTTGGTGTGCCAACCCAGTGCTAACCTAATTCCACTTTTTCCAGTCTCTGAGCTGCTTCGTAGCCAAGTTATGGTGATTTTTCAGTGTCACGGGAAGCGCGCCATGCTCAACGCAATCTCCGCGACCATTTCGTGTAATGCCCTCCTCTGTTTGGTTCAGGTCAGGCCTTGTTGACTAATGCACCTGTTTTCCTCCATCTTGGGACTGGCTCTGGAACCGAATTGTGACTTTTTCAGTGACATCGCTAACTTTTGACGCACGCCCCGCCCACTGTGGGCGGGGCTTACCATGAGGTCATGGGTGCTATTTAGGTTTTGTCCCATGCTCTACCCATCCCCACCATGACCCGACCTCTCCAAGTTCTTCTTCAGGTGCTATGAATTTCGTGACAGACAGACAGACAGACAGACAGACAGACAGACACACACACACACACACACACACACACACACACACGGACATAGCCGATTATATTAGTAGGATGAGGGCCGGTAATCCAGAGCCATCCACGCGTGAGATAGAAGCCACTGGCAATCTAGGATGAAGCTGTTTTCTGGGTCACGCGATCTCTCAGTTCTCGCGCAGTTTTTCGGACGGCAGGTTTTTTAGTAATTCTCCTAACAATCGCCTTATTCAGGAGAACCTACGAAACGTGATCAATGTGGAAGCCTCTACTCTTGCTGCTCTCGTAAAGTTCTGTTACTCAGGAAAGATCATGATCACAGAGGATAATTCACTGAGTATTCTGGCCGCAGCATGCTATTGTTTTCAATTGGAGGAAGTTCAGGTTTGTAAGACGGTAAAACTAATTTGCTGAAACCTCAAGAGCTCGTTCCGCGTTCAACTGATGCTCAGATGCCCTTTTTCCATGCTAGTCCTGTCTGCAAACTGAAGGCAGGGCACGTGGCGTTGTTGAGGAAATCCAGGCAAAAGGGAGAGGTCATTTGCATCGCGACAGGATGAGAGGGGTGTAAGGGCTCATTCAGAACTGAAAAGAGCAGTAATACTGAGATGTCGCACAATCACTGATTGATAGAAGATTTATTCACGGTTCTTGTCCTGAAGAACACCTGAAGGGAAACTTGTTGACCAAGGAAAGCTGCAACCTCATAAGTGGGAACGGTAATGAAGAGAAATTCGGTGCTAGGCGTCGCAGACTGATGTCATGTCATTATAAACGGAAATACTCACACGTAAACGATCCGTCCTTTTCTGAAGCTAGAGCACTCTGCTTGGGCACGAGAGCTAGCAAGTTAACCTTTCCACTCCTCTGCGCGGCGAATCCAATGCACGGCGGAATAGAGAGGGTATCTCAATCGTCGCAATAATTTTTATAATTCCGACAACAAGTCCGTGTTCTCCGCAAGGTTAGCCGCAAGTGAGGCTTCAGAGGCACGGTCCCGCAGTAACGTTTAAAAGTTGAAAATGTAGGGCGTTGGGAGAGTAGTGTGGTCCGCGGCGAACAACCGTGTGCCAGTTTCGCGGCGAAAAATTCTAAGGGAGGGACGCAATAGCGTAATCAAGGTTCAGCGGCGCCTCCTTTTTCCAGTGATTTCGCCTCCAGAATATCCACCTCTGAAGCATTTTCCCGCGATAAAATAAGGGCTTATTGACGATCAAATGTGCCGGACGATCTGCGAGACGCGGATTTTCAGGCTGCGCTACTACTCCCAAAGTTTGAAAAGTCGCATTTAAATTGAAAAGTCGCCAGAAGTCCGTTAAAAGCTGACTATTGGCCATGGAACCCCTTAAGGCCCATGCCGACCCCCAGCGTCGGCTGCCTAGCTACTAGCTAGTACGCGCACTATACTATTCTACACGACCGGCGTTAAACAACGAGCCACGACACGCGACAGCAATGACCATGTCAAGCGCCGCCCAAACCTCCCATTCCGAAATGTACTCCTGGTGTTATGGTAGTTCGCTTGAGAGTTTTTCTCAGTTTGAGTGATTCTGCCCTGTTCTGGATTGCCACCAGAACCTACCGGTGCACCCTTTTATGACTGCCTGATTGATATGTATAACCCATAGGGAACATTGAGACATGTGATTATGACCCATAGGTAAATAGTTAGATACTCGATGCGTGACCTCTCCTGTATTGAGAGGCACGCCTAGATTAAGTTAGCATCTACACATCTACATCAACCGGATCACCGCCGTATCGGACTACGCGGAGACCACCCGTCTCGCACTATATTGTATTCTAGGCAATGCCAACGAGCACCTCGTCTGTCAATAAAGCCTTCATCAACCTACACACGCAGCCACAGCTAGTGAGAATTGTCAAACCGCATCGCGCCTTTCTCGCCTTCACGTAGGGGCGATCAGCCTCGGTCTGGGAATTGAGGTACCATCTAGCAAGGCAATGGCGCAGTTCTTTCGTTTTTTTCTTTCTATATTCAATTTTTTAGCTATTGCATTACCATTCTGCATACCTCACATTTCTCCATTTTCGAACGAGCGAAGCTTGAACCCAAAAAATTTCAGGCGCTTCATGATACAATTTTTATGTTGAAGGGACATGCTGCTGAGTTTCTTGAAGAGTAAATTTGGGTCTATCGAATGCTCTTGAAATCTCTCGGACTGCTGAGCTCTTTCTTGCATGGATGCTTCTTTGCGCTGAGTGTGTTTCAATCGTCCGAGAATTTCCAGTTCTTCACTCTTATTGCTACGTGTAAGTATGTTGCTGATTTTCGATGTATGATTGCCGGCTTTACTTCTTAGATATAGTGCTGAGAGTGATGAGCTTTAACCAGCTCTCTTTCGATTGCGACTCTTAGTCCAAACTAATTTCAAGTAGCAGAGCTGAAGTTCATCAGCAAGAGGTGCGTCGATCTTCGGCGAAGGATATCAAAATTTGATGTATCTCCAATTTATTGAGTTGTATAAGTTACGGCGGGTAACATTATTCATGCGAAACTGCCCGTAAAATTTCAGTGAAGAAGTAGGCAGCTAAGCACACAGTACCACTCAGTTTTTTTCTAGGCAGCACTTGGCTGCAGGTGAAAAGCGGGCTAGATCTGGACATGCTTCTGGGCCACACACCGGAAATTTCAATCGCAAGCCTCCCTCCCTCGCTGCGCAAACGCGCAGGCTATTAGGTTGTCGCATAAGTTCTTATACACGACTTTTTTGTAAATATCTCAAACGAACCAGCCTGGAGATTAGAAGTATGCCTCACCATTCACTACTCGACGCCAGCGCTCAGGCAGCTTGTCGATTCCATCCTTCCAGAACGACGGAGGCTGGGACTTGAAGAAGTCGTCGAGCGCCTTTCTGACCTGATCCTTTGTTTCGAACTTTTTTCCGTCCAGATAGCGCTGCAGGTGGCTGAACAGCCAGTAGTCAGAAGGAGCGAGGTCAGGGAGGGTGGCGACCATCAGCCATCCGTACTTCTCCAGCTCGGCCTGGGTCGCCTTTGCAGTGTGAGGTCGGGCGTTGTCATGGTGGAAGTAGATTTCCGCATTCCTTCCACGAGTACGGTCGACGTGATCTTTCAATTTCCGCAGCTGGGTCACGTATGTGGAAGCGTCAATCGTCTGTCCCTTCTCCAGCAGCTCCCAGTACTCCATGCCTCTTCTGGACCACCAACAGGACAGGAGAACCTTTTTGGGGTGAAGGTCGGCCTTTGGGGTGGCTTCTGGCTGTTCTCCTTTGTCGACCCACTGCCGCTTCCTCACAGGGTTATCGTAGAGGACCCACTTCTCATCTCCAGTGATCATCGAGTTGAGAAAGTGAAGCCTCTTTTGGAAAGTGAGGAGAGAAGTGCAGGTGGTCACCCTCCTCGAGAGGTCATAAGCGGACAGTTCATGTGGGACCCGTTGACCAAGCTTTGCTTGCCCTGCCGGGCTCTTTCTACGTCCACTGGATCGTCGAGTGATCATACGCTAAGCATGGTCGCCAATTACTCTGGGTGGTGCAGGTATGGGTCCTCCTTCACTGGGCGATACGTAGTACTTCCAAATCCAACTCCATCGGCCGACCCGACCTCGGAGCATCTTCGAGAGAAAAGTCTCCTTTCTTGAATTTGGCGAACCAATTCTTGCATGTCATGTAAGAGATGACGTCCTCACCGTATGTATCCACCACCAGCTTGGTATGGGCTTCCTTTGCATTCCAGCCGAAATCGTGGAGCAAAACCAAACAGTGGCGCAGGTACGTTTTGTCACAGTGCAAATTGTGCGACATTGTGTACTGCAAGATGCAAGGCTCGGTGAGTGCGATAGCTTAGTTTCAATGAAAGAGTAATAAAGAAGATCTCTTGAAAGTCGAGGAGAGAGGTGAAAGAGTGTAATGAAAGAGTATAATGTACACGTCACGCACACGTGATGACGTAATACCAACATCCATGCGAACGAAATAGGAGAGGATCAAACACGTGTATAAGAACTTATGCGACAACCTAATATATACCGCCCCTTTCCAACTTATAAAACCTTGTTTCCACTCTTTGTTCCTTCCTTACCTCCTATGGTGAACCACAGACCGTTCTTTTAGGTTTTCGCAGCTGTGACAAGATGGGTCAGATTTGAACAGGCAGATCGGCAAAA